ACGTGGGCAAGTGGTATATGTGTAGAATCCACGAAAAAGAATATCAAGTAGTTAGTGGATGTGTAAGCCTCCTCAAAATATAAAAAGGGGGCATATAATACACAAATGCATATACCTTATGTTGGAAAAAGTTAATAGATAATGTTTGTGTACGTAAAATAATATTGAATATGGTTGATGGCAATGGAAGGGGTCACATCGGCACGTGGTGGTGCTGATTCCACCAGTTAATTAACTCACACTGCGACTTTCCCATTGGGAAAAAGCCCCCAGCTGTTGCTAGCTGTCCCTAATCTCCCCCATGTGACCCGCCTCCCCCTAAGACATAAACTAATAAAACAACCCTTATCCCCCCATTGTTGATCATTCTAAGGTACATCATTGCCTTAAATATCACTTTCTCATATGATGTTTGTCTTTGGGGTTGGATCCTTTCTCTTTCTTATAAGTGTCATCTTTTCATACTTTCTTTTTGTTTAGTTTTTTTTTTGTAAAGATTTTGTGTTGGGTGTATAGTTAGTTGATTAGTTGTTGTTGATTAAGATTAGCTTTGGTTTTAGTGATTTTTATGATTTATTTTGCTTTGTGTTTTGTATTTTGAGTTTGGTGTTTGTGACATTGGTTTTAGGATGGCACAATTACCTCCGAAAGTACCCAACATGACCCAAAATTGGCACAATTACTTCGTGGATGGCTCAAACCACCACCACCACCAGTCTTCATGGGTGGACGAGTTCCTCAACTTCTCGTCGGCACGCCGCGGGGCTCACCGTCGTTTCATCAGCGACTCCATTGCTTTCCTCGAGCAACCATTAGTGGAAGATTGTAGGTACTCCAACAATAATAACAATGCCATGATGAGCCTCGATGACGAGCAGCTCATGTCTATGTTCTCCGACGACGTCGCCGTCACCATGGCTTCTGTCCCGACCGTATCATCATCGACGTCGGATCAAAACAGCAACAATGATGAGAAACCGGTGCCGTCCCTGGATCTACAACAGCCCAAGAATGAACCGGCAGAGGTGGAGAGCTCATGCGAAGCTGAACCACAAGCTGCTCAGCCTCCATCAAACTCTAATGGCGATACCATCGTTGATCCGAAGAGGGTTAAGAGGTAAAAGAAACAAAGAAAAATAATCAAACCCCATTGTTCCCCCCACCATTTTTAAACCTTTCGTGCACAATGAACAGAATTCTGGCAAACCGGCAATCAGCACAAAGATCAAGAGTGAGAAAGCTGCAATATATTTCAGAGCTTGAAAGGAGCGTCAGTACATTACAGGTGCAAATTAGACTAAGATATTATCCATATTTATATTCTTTTTTTAAATAAACAAATTTTGATACTTTTTCTTGATTAATTTATAAAAATGAAGAGTGAAGTATCAGCATTATCACCAAGGGTTGCATTCTTGGATCATCAAAGACTGATTCTCAATGTTGACAATAGTGCTTTGAAGCAAAGAATTGCAGCTTTGGCTCAAGACAAGATCTTCAAAGATGGTAACATTGTTTCTTAATTATATAATTAATTAGTATCATTAATTCTTTATCTTAATTGCTTAAATTTACCTTTTTGCATTAAAATTTCAGCTCATCAAGAAGCATTGAAGAAGGAAATTGAGAGACTAAGACAAGTCTATCAGCAACAACAAAGCCTCAAGAAAATGAACAACAATGACAACAACAATGACAACCACCATGCACCACCACAAAAACAACCGTCGCAGCCGCCGGAGAACGAAGAACGGCTTATGAGTTGATCAAGGATATGACAGTGAGAAGATCTCGTGCAAAACTAAAATTAAAATAATGCAATAAAGCTATCTAACATTGGGCCTTGGGGGGCTATTTATTTTTTCATGTTGTGTTTCCCAATTGCTGTTTTTCTATTAATGTAGGGGTCCCTTTAAGACAACAAAATAAATTGAAGGGCAAAAAGAAAGGGACACGTGGAGCTCTAAGATAAGAGCGTGACAATTTAATTCTTTTTCATTTTTAAATTAATTAATTCGTATTATTGTGTGGGTTTTGTTTGGGGTATTGATCTCTTTTTTTTAAAAAAAAAAATTATTATGATGAAAATAATTTAATTTAACTTTTGTAATTAGTTAGTGTTGTCAGAAATAATGGTGGATATGTCTGAATGTTTATCAGAGTACATAAAATAATGGTTGATTTCTTTTTCATTATTTTTATTTTGTTCTTGGTTTTGTTAGTATTTTAATATTATTATAAAATTTGTAAAATAAAATATCTAAATTTAAATTTAATATAAAATATAGATAATCGAAATGAATTGATTTAAAAATAAAAAAGGAATTTATTTTTTTTAAAACGAACCAAAACATATATATTCCTACTCTTAAAAGAGAGCAATCAATTTTAAACCCTAAACTACAATCTTTATAGAGAGACATACTTAGTATCTAACGTCGAGGAATAAATTTATAAAATTTTATAAAAATATAAGTTTATAAATTTTAAAAGATAAAAATATATTATTAAAAATATAAAAATATAAAAAAAAATTATATGGAACAACCAGTCCACCTACTTCTCATGCTATCTAGCTTATATGCACAATATGGTCTAAACCATTGTTGAAATGTGCAGTGCAGTGAGAAAAGGGCCCAACAACTTGCTATGTTCGCTAGGACTGTACATAGAATGTTATGAAATTTTTCTAATTGTAATTTAATTGTTAAAAAATGATTAATTTTTATTAACGATTCAGTTACAGATTAACCTATTGTTAATCTATTACAATTATTTTTCAAAAATAACATAATATAAACATTCTAAAATTTCTTAATACATACTACAAAAAAGTATAGCACTTAATACATACTTACACCTAGGGTTGTAAATGAGATGAGTCGAGCTCGAGTATTGTTGAGCTCGACTCGACTCGAAAACTCTGAAATAGAGCTCGATCCGGCTCGAAAACTTGTGAGCCTAAAATTTTCAAGCTCGATTGGAATTTGAAACAATGAACCGAAGCTCGAAATAAAAAAATTTCTTAAACTGAACTCGATTAAAGCTCAAACTCAAACTTGAATCTGAATCTTAAATTTATTTATATTTTATTTTTTTAAATAAATACATAAATATTAACATTATTAATAATTTATTTATTTTAAATAAAATTTGAATATATTATTTTTTTCAAGTAGCTCGTGAGCTTTTCGAGTCGAGTATTTATCGAGTTTTGGTCGAGTCAATCTCGAGTAACTCGCAATCTGGCTCGTCTCATTTACAACCCTACTTACATCGGTGTAACTTGTAAGTGAATAAAATAAAATAAAAAATGTAGCACTTAACACATAATTACACAAGTGTAAGTATGCACATCTCCCAATATAATTATAAATTTAATTGATTCAAGATTAATCAACGTTTATCAAAATTCGTAATTGTAAATGTAATCTTAACCTTAACTATTAATCATTATTTTTAACGGTTCAATTAATAGAAACAATTTAACATTAACGGTTCTAATAATTAATCTATTAAACGTAACGATTACACCGGTTAACAGCTACGGTTAACAGTTACGAATTTTTCTGAACAAACCTAATGGTTGCCACAACAAAGGGAAAAAGGCTTAATATTCTACGTAATATATAAATTTGTGTTTTACTAAAACTATAATTTCTTGTGCCGATGGTTATATTATTTTTTATATGATTTCATATTTTCGTTTGAGGTTTTAGACAATATGATATAAAGATATATTATTGTTTTTATAAAAATTATTATCTTTTATATTAGTCACAATATTGATATAAAAATTTTCTACAAAAATATGTTATATATTCTAATTAAATTACTTTTTAGTTTAAATCATTTATTCATTTTTTATTTTTGCATTAAGTTATATAATAGTCCAATTTATCATCATACTTGGAATTGGGATAACAAGCATAGTTAATGAATAATTAATCATATAGGTTCATAAAAAAGAGAAATAGTATACACGATAATCTCAATTGTCTATAACCATCCACATGCATGCATTTCAACAAAGGAATTTATTTGGCACACAATTGTGTTGAGTTTACACAAATCTATCTATTTTAGGGTTTAAAGGTCTCCTTTAAGATATAGAATTTAAAATTCAAAGTTTAATTTCTAAAATAGATGAACTATAACCAACATATTTGGTTCAAGTGGTAAGCAGTTTGATATCGCTTAAGTAAGATTTCAAGTTAGAGTCCTTATGTATGTAGGAAATTCTTACCTGGAGACTCACTCACAGAAACCAGGTGTGCGACATGGGTCGACCCAACTTAATATTCAATAATAACTTATATATTAAAAATCAATCATTATCCATTTCAAACTCAATATCCAAGTCATTTAATATTAATACTATCTTATTCTTCAAACATTAGTTTAATGCACATTAAAAATAAATAAAATATAGAAAGCACCATTAATTCATATTTCTATAGCATTAGGGTTTCGCTTCATTAAACAATAATTTAATCAATTTATTATATTATTACTGTATAAAAAATATGATGTTGTATATGGTAATATGAGTCTCTTATTTTTCTATACAATCCGATGTGGACCCTCCTAGATGTCACCATTCTGCAACTTATATAATGAAGGTCGCATTCGTCTCTGTAGTACCCAATCTGAATTAGTCGATCAATAGATCGCATACCAGTGATTAATTCAAAAATAAAATTCTTTGACTCATTCACCAACCAAATGCAAATAATAATAATAATAATTTGATTTATAATTCACGCATATTTTTTGAATTTTTATAAGTAGAGGGACTGAAGTTGGTATTAAGCTATATAGCTTATGTAGAATGATTTTTAGATTTAATTTCTAAAACGACCTTTCTATTCTAGTGGAATATTCAAATTAATCTTTTCATTATTTTTTAGATTAATTTATAATTCTTCGTTGCTACTTTTTTTTTAAGAATTAAACAGAGGTACACATGTAAATAAAATTATTCAAACTTGGATCACTTATTCCTCGAATACTCGATATTTTTTTCATTGAAAAAAAAACCATTATGATACAAAACAAGAGCTTATTTCACTCAAATGTACATGAATTTTATAGCTTTAAATGGAGATCAATATGTTCAGCAACTTCAACCCTTTTACAATTAGCCATTGTTGCTGCACTTGCTTGTTCAATTTTCGCCATTGCAGGTGGTGGAAAGACGCTATAGTAAGGTCGCTGCATATATAATCCACTGCCACCTTGTTTCATAATCGAATCTTCAAAGCTTGCCTTCAAATACACACACACAAGGTTTTATATATGCAAAATATGGTCCAATAAGCATAAAATTAATGAAAATGGGAGATTTTCTCACTTGATGATAAGCCAATAAATCGAGGTCTGGCAATTCGTAAGGGATCGAATTCGATTGAGGATGCTTGGATTTCTAGGTTGAACACATTGATGTAGTTGTTGGAGGAGCTAACGTAAGAAAACCTCTAGCAAAAACCCCATTTGAAGGCCCTTCCCTGGGAAAAGATCGAAAAAAGGTTCGGGTTTGAATCTTCAACTTTGAAGTTTGTGATGTTACAAGGATGAAAAGTAAAAATGGAACCTGGAATTCGAGGTGCCGGAATCGGAATTGAATGTGGTAGCTTTGCTAGTACTTGAAGTGGCTTCAAATTTCCCATTGTTGGAATTAACAATGGGAGGATAATATTTTGTGTGAAAAGGGAATTGTCCTGGAGAATTGTCCAGGGAGAAAGGGTATGGTCTCTTCATGCCAATTACCTACAACAATAAAGCATGTTATTGTTACATGATGATATCAAGGCCTAAAAAATAAGAGAATGCTGCATATCTAAGAATTTTTTTATCTAAAAAACACAAGAAAAAGAAATAAAACCTAATTCTTTATTGATCTCTAAATTAATGGAAAGAGAAATTTAAAACTAAATTTTTTTCAATGGCTCAAATGCATGTATTCATGTATGTATATACGTATGTTAGGGATGAAATCAAGATTGAACAATGACAGAGTTAAATTGTTTAACATCGAAGCGAATAATATCTTAAATATAATTAAACAATAAAATTAAGGTGGTGTTTGTTTTTACTGTGTAAGGTCTGCAAAGCTCTTATGTCTGCGCTGTGCAGACCACGCGCTGACATTGGGCTTCACAGACCGTTTGTTTTTTAGAAGACAAAAGCTCTTCTAACGTCTGCGCATGGTCTACGCGGCGCAGACGTGGCCTAACGTCTTCAAATAAACAAAAACCAGATTAGGGATGCTGGATCGACTGCTTCAACGGCTATTCACTCCCAATATTCAACCTATTTTGTTTAGCCATTCACTCCCAATATTCAACCCATTGTCTGCAGTTTTCCTCCTAAAAAAACCCTTCTCTGCGCCGCTTCTCCTTTCCTTGTTTCCCACACGATCGTTGTTCCCCCCTCGCTGCAGACCTCTATCGATGTTCCCCCTTGTCACCGGCCATCTACCACAGGTATGATTTACTGTGTATGCTGATTTGTGTATGTTGATGTTTGTTTTTGCTGCTTTGAGACCCTCCTGAGACTCTCTTGTTAACAAATTAGTACTTCTTTGCTATTTGTTTTTGCTGCTTCAAGACCATCGATTTTTGTTGATTTACATATATATGTATGTATATATTGTATTTGTTGTTTGTATATGTATGTATGTTATGAATTTGTTGTGACAGTATCGGATCGAAGATCAACTGTTCTGGTCACCATTGTTACTGAAATTTATCCCCATAAAGAAGATTAACCAAAACAATCTGATATGCATAACTTCAATTAATAATGCCAAGCAAAGTGATCCTTAGTAGTATTCTTCCGAGTGAGATAGAGTTACCAGGACTAGAGTTAAAAACCCAGAGATTTAAACCAAATTATGAGAATCAAAATGTCACTGATTACTCTCAGTTCAAGAGTAAATTTTTTCCCCTAGAACTGTTAATAATTAATATTTCGCTTTCATAACCATTTAACAGAGAAATTTACACCATGCCAACATGTTGAATAGTTGAAGTAATCTCAAGGAAATTCAAGAAATCCAAAGAAACAATTGACCAATATTATACATAGAGAGAGAGTTTACCAGTTCAAGCTCTTCTTCTTTGTCTTAAAACGCCTTTTCCCAGAAAATTTCAGAGAGTTTCCTTGAATGAAATAATTGAACAGCTTTTTATTTCCCGATCGATACTCAACCTAGTCAATTAACTTCCGGCCCCGAGTTAGCAAGTACCCATATCGGCATCTGCAAAGTTTTCCATTTCTTTTTCTACCTTGAGTTGATAGTTTAGTCTAATACAATGTTGTAAACAAAGCTCATACTAACTGAATCATTTATATTGGTAAGAAACCTTTTTAACCTTATAAGATTCTTTTATTTATTTCTACTGTAGGCTGATGCATTTATTTACTCAAGACATGAATAATAGTTCGATAAATTTAATAACATTTTTGTAACTTTCTAAATTGAATTAATATAATAATCTATACCAAATATGGATGAATTAAAACATAATTAGTAACAAATTAGTAAATCATGGATAAGGTTCACAAAAGTTTAAACTAGGCTATTATATATATATATGTTGATTTATATATATATATATGTATGTATATATTGTATTTGTTGTTTGTATATGTATGTATGTTATGAATTTGTTGTTTGTATGTTATGAATTTGCTGTTTGATGTTATGTATTTGATGTGTATGCTGATTTGTGTGTATAGACATGGGAGAGAAGCAACAATGGTCCAATGAGCATTTAAAATGCTTATTGGAAACTTGTATCGAAGAAATAAACAATGTTGGAAGGAAAGGATTGAATTTGCATAAGGAGTCATGGATTAAATTAGGAAGAATCCTTAAGGAAAGGTTTAGTATGGAGTTGAGTCAAAAACAAATGAAAAATGCCTACGACAATCTAAAAGCAAAATACATAGGATGGGTGTATCTGAAAAACAAAACCGGCAACCTATACAACCCTCAAACCAACACTTTCACCTTAACGAACGAGGAATGGGAAGAATTTAGGAAGGTATGTTTTATATATATTTTCAAACATTTAGGTATGAAGTTCTTAAGTATTCTTATACTAGTTTTTATTATTTTGGGTTTAGGGATATCCAAAGGCTGCTTCGTTGAAGACAACCCTTTTGCCTTTTCCAGAACTTTGTGTAGCATTATTTGATGGCAATAGTGCCATTGGTAATTGCAAGTGGACCTCAACCCAAACAATATCAGGGGTTGGATCATCTTCTTGTCATCATGTTCAACCACTGTTGCTTACAAACAACTCTTTTATTGACTCTGAAGATGTTGATGGCACTTCCCATGAGCCTCCTTCTGAGCCAGCTCCCAATACCTCAGCTGATCCACCTCTTAGTGCATCAGTTGATCCACCTCCTAAGTCATCCCCTACTTTTGATAGGCCTAACAAAAGGGCTAAAACCTCAAAATCCTTGAGTGATAAGACAGTTGTCACTTTTGATGATATAGCAGTTGATATGCAAAAAGCTTTACAACATATTGTTAAAAACAAGGATGAGCCAACAAGTGCTGAATGCTATGAGAAGTTGAAGCTTTGTAACTTAGACCCAATGGATCCTCTATTCTTAGCAGCTTTTCACATTTTTGGATTGTCCATGCCTATGAGAGATGCATGGATGACGTTGCCGGCTGTTCCTGAGGTATTAAAGGGGTGGATCAAGATGACTGCTATAAGTTTAGGATTATTAAAGTAGGGAAACATTGTTTGGTCTTTTTGATTATGTAAGAAATATTATATGGTTTGTGGTCTATGTTAGAAATATTATATGGTTTGTTGATGTTCAAAACATTATATGGTTTGTGGTTTATGTTAGAAATATTATATGGTTTGTCGATGTTCAAAACATTATATGGTTTGTAGTCTATGTTAGAAATATTATATGGTTTGTATTAAAATTATATTTATCTTGTTTATTTTATTAACAAGTGTTGACATTTTAACAGGTTCATTATGGATTACGATACAAAATTACTACTCATAATTCTTATGTACTTTTATCTCCGCTTTTGTTGGAAGAGAGGTACGAAACGAATGCGAGACAATGATTCGGCAATGTCTGGACATCAATACACATTAGAGTTATTGCAAGGTAATCCTAGACAATGCGTTGAAGTACTGCGCATGTCTCGTGAATCATTTGTCCGACTATGCACACTTTTTAGAGTAAATTACTCGTTAAAAGATAGTAAACACATATCGGTTGAGGAAAAAATGGCTATGTTTTTTATGATGATCGGTCATAATCAACGATACGTGATTATCAAGCGTAGATTTCAACACTCAAAGCAAACAATTCATAATTTTTTTTATGAAGTGTTGGATAAAATGATGCTTTTTGCAAAAGATATGATAGTACCAACCTCTTTTAATCCGAATCCAAACATTACGGGACATAATAAGAGACTACGACAAGTTTTTAAAGGAGCGGTTGGTGCACTTGATGGAACTCTGATACATGTTGTTGTCCCTGCTAATAAACAAGATTTATATAAAGGAAGGGGAAAAGGGGATTGTTATCAAAACATATACGCAATTTGTGACTTCAACATGATTTTTACGTTTATTGTGGTCGGTTGGGAAGGGGTAGCACATGATGCTAGAATATTATCAGAAGCATTAGCAGATCCAGATGCACCATTCCCGTTTCCACCACCTGGTACGTTTATAGTTTTTTTAAATATTTTCATCTTAGTTTAAATAATAACTGATTATTTATATATTTACAGACAAATATTATCTTTGTGATGCCGCATATGCACACATTCGAGGATTTATGGCTCCATATCGTAATGTGAGGTATTGGCTTGGAGATTTCTGTCACAGGCGTGCATTGACTAATAAAGAAAAATTTAATCATGCACATGCAAAGCTTCGAAACATCATTGAGCGTGCTTTCAGTGTCTTGAAAGCACGATTCCCGATATTAAAAAGGATGGCACCATTTCCGTTGCTTACTCAAAGAAACATTACCATTTCATGTTTCGTAATTCATAATTTTATAAGAAAAGAGGGTTTCAGCGATGAGTTCTTTAATGAATATGATCAACCCAATGTGACGTTTCAAAATACCAATGTGCGTGTTGCTGATGATGAAGACGAGCCTGAAGGACATGGTTCTGCAGCGGATCGAGAATATATGACTCAGCTACGAGATGAAATTGCTGAGCAATTAATGCAAAATATGGATTGAATTATTGTAGTTGTATGGATTATTTAAATTTCAATATTGTAAAACTAAAATTATTTAAATTTCAGTATTGCAAAACTCTTTTAAGTTAAAAAAACAATTTATTTATATTTCAGTTTATTTTAACAGTCTGCAGACGTTAAAAAACAAACAGTCTTCCTCTTGCAGACTGCAGACTTTTGGTCCACATCTTCTGCTGCAGATGCTTGCAGATGTGGTCCGCAGACTGCAGACCTTTTACCTCTGCAAAAACAAACAGCACCTAAGAGAGCAAAGATTTAATTTCACTAATTTTAAAATTGAATAGTTTTAAAAAATAATAAAATAAAAAGGTTAAGTGTTAAAACTTAACTTCTTTAATTTTAAAACAGAAAGAATCCTAAAATAATTAAACCAAAAAAAATTTAAGAGGGAAAAAAAACTTAATTTCAATACTTTCAAAATTATTGATGGCTTAAAATACAGTTAAACCAGGACAATGGCCCCTCTTACCTATTCCTTGCATCCATCCCTATATGTAAATATGTATGCATGCATATGTATGTATGTATGTATGTATGTATGTATGTATGTATGTATGTATGTATGTATGTATGTATGTATGTATGTATGTATGTATGTATGTATGTATGTATGTATGTATGTATGTATGTATGTATGTATGTATACGTATACGTATATGTATGTGTATGTATGTATGTATATATGTATGTATGTATGTAGGTACGTATGTATGTATGTAGGTACGTATGTACGTATGTATGTATGTATGTATGTACGTATATATGTATGTATGTATGTATGTATGTATGTATGTATGTATGTATGTATGTATGTATGTATGTATGTACGTTGTATGTATGTATGTATGTATGTATGTCTAGTATGTATGTATGTATTACGTATGTATATATGTATGTATGTATGTATGTATGTATGTATGTATGTATGTACGTACGTACGTATGTACGTATGTATGTGTATGTATGTATGTATGTACGTATGTATGTATGTATGTATGTATGTATGTATGTATGTATGTATGTATGTATGTATGTATGTATGTATGTATGTATGTATGTATGTAGTATGTATGTATGTGTATGTATGTATGTATGTATGTATGTATGTATGTATGTATGTATGTTGTCTGTATGTATGTATGTATGTATGTATGTACGTACGTACGTACGTATGTATGTATGTAGTACGTACGTACGTACGTACGTACGTATGTATATGTATGTATGTATGTATGTATGTATGTATGTATGTATATGTATGTATGTACGTATGTATGTATGTACGTATGTATGTATGTATGTATGTATATACGTATGTATGTGTATGTACGTATGTATGTATGTATGTATGTATGTATGTATGTATGTATGTATGTATGTATGTATGTATGTATGTATGTATGTATGTATGTATGTATGTATGTATGTATGTATGTATGTATGTATGTATGTATGTATGTATGTATGTATGTATGTATGTTGTATGTATGTATGTATGTATGTATGTATGTATGTATGTATGTATGTGTATGTATGTATGTATGTAGTATGTATGTATGTATGTATGTATGTATGTATGTATGTATGTATGTATGTATGTATGTATGTATGTATGTATGTATGTATGTGTATGTATGTATGTATGTATGTAGTATGTATGTATGTATGTATGTATGTATGTGTATGTATGTATGTATGTATGTATGTATGTATGTATGTATGTATGTATGTATGTATGTATGTATGTATGTATGTATGTATGTATGTATGTATGTATGTATGTATGTATGTATGTATGTATGTATGTATGTATGTATGTATGTATGTATGTATGTATGTATGTATGTATGTATGTACGTACGTATGTATACCTTCTCTCCAGGCAAGAAAGGTTTAAAATTTGTATAATAGCTTTGGTTTGAAGGGGGCTTCATCTGAAAATTCATTACAGATGTTGATGATGAAGTTTTTGATGACAAATTCACCTGCATAAAAAAACACACCACTAATTCACCCTAATCTTTATTAACAACACCAACAATCAACGTAATTCTAACCATTGAAGAAGAAGACCGTTGCTGTAGATGCTGTGGGAAAGGTTGTCGTCCCCTCGGCATCAACCAGCCAATGGCCAAACTGGTTCAATTTCCAAATTCGTCCTAAAATCCCAACCTGCAGGATCCAACCAAAACACTCATTTTCAACTTTGAATTCACAAGAACCCCAAAATCTATAACCATCAACACTTGTCAATGGAACAGCAGCACCAGCGTTTCCATTACAGGCAACAGATGAAGGTGACCTACAGACGGGATCTTTCTTCTGTTGTTCTTCTAACCTTATCTTCTCAAGCTGCGCTACACCGAGCCCTCTTTGGGGTACTTCTTTAGGCCTTTGCTTCTTGGAAGATTTACCACTGTTGGTTGTTTGATCTTCTTGAACCATAGTTTCCACTGCTAGTTTTCACCAGAAATCATGGTTAAGTTTCATGCATGTTGCTGTTTACATAAACAAAGAGATTTAGACAGTTACTGGGAGTCAAGAGATTAAGCATGTATATATATATATATTGAAATTCAATGCATATCTTTAGATTAGTATATGTGAATGCGTGTGTGTATACATATTTCTTTAATTTTTGCCCTTATCCTGGCTCCAACTCTTCCTGTTTCCATTTCTAGAGCCACTCTTTCAGCTTTTCTTGTATTTTTTTGTTTGTGTCTGTCAAATTATGCTTTCAGAGTTCTAAAAGAAGGTAAGTTCCAATGCTACTTGGCAATGTCACCTTAGCTCCGTTTCAGTTTGGGGTTATCTCTTGCTGGCTTCGCAACTTTCAGACCTAATTATGGGACCCTCATTTTTATTCCTTAAGACATTAACACATGCATGCAATGTCTTATTATAAAATTCAATAAACAACAAAAGTTATATTGTATTTATCTTTTTACTCTTTAATGTCTCACTCTTTTTACACCTATTAAAATAAATATATCAAACACTTTTTAGAGATAACTCCATAAATGATTTTTTTTAATTGAGAGGGTTTGATAAATTTTTCTTTATTTATTTTTAAAAAATATATATTTTCAATATTAATTAACAATTACAAAAATAATTGTGGGGTTAGTCTTGACCCTCACGTGCTCCGCTAATGTGCATAGTTAATATGAGATACAAATTATGAGACAAAGAAACTATATTATGATGTAGTATGATTAAGAATAAATACAGATTTGATCAGATTATGTCGAATTTTTTATCTATTTAAATTTAGTTTGAGTATTATCCTCATTCCTCTTAATTTTTTACTTATAATTAATAAATACAGTTAAATTAATAAAAAAAATATGGATTAAATATAAATTATTATTTATATACTTGTATCGCAAAGAAAGCAAAATTGTTTGTCTTTCAATAAAACCCATTTCCAAATGCAAAGCCATTATGTCCCTTAATTTCATGGATGACAGCATGCTTCTTTGTCATATAACATGCCAAGGTTTTGTTACATGCTCAAAAATGTTAAGGTCCCCCTCCCCATTTAGGGCATCTATCACTAAAATTCTTTCCTTTTTTTAAAATAAAATAATACCTTTTTATTTGTTTCCATGTAGTTTTGGGCTTTTTTCTCTATAATTTATAGAAAATTGACAAGTGTGAGAATTGACATCAAAGTTTCAACAATAATTGAAGATGTCTTGGCTTCTCTTGCTTTCAAATACATTAATTTTGATAGGTCCGTCTTCTTATTATCGTTCGAATTATTTTTATAAAATATTAAAATTATACATAAATTTTAATCAAATATGAATATATTAACTTTATTTTGATATAATTATACATAAAATTTGACCCAACTATATATAGATATATATATATATATATATATATAAACACATTATTCATTTTCTATATTAGATAAATATATTATTATGCATGAAAATTGAATCAAATAAAAATTCTATATATGCAATAGTATAAAATCAAAGTTCTTATGTCATCTAGTTGATCATATAATATTATATCATGCTTATCCTACCATATCTATAACACATATTGTATCTTGTTCATTTCTTATTACTCCATCATTACTTTTTAATGTACATTTTCAAGTTGATTCAAATACACTCTAATAATTATATCTCCTTATATTTAAATTATTTATAAAATTTATCGAATATACATAATTCTTATACATATTTTTAAAAAAAAATTATGAGTCGAAGCATTAATACATGTATGTTTATGTATGATGTAGCTCATTTTACTGTAGCAATGCTAACACTTCCTACACTCTTTATCTGTATTGTCATATATTATATAAACGTCATCTTTGCCACATAATTTATTTTACTTTTCTTGTACTAGCTATCATGCCTATTCATTTCTTTTCAATATTAAGCCAATTTAAAAAATTGGTATAATTACATTATATATCTTCCCAGTTTTACTCGTCTTTCACTTTAGTCCCTATTTAAAAAATTAAGAAAATTTCATATTTTTCAATTTAATCCTTATTTAAAATCTATTTTTTTATCTTAATTAATCCGACACTCCCTATTAACTATCTCCCTTCCCCTGTCACCACCTATGATTATTTAAAAAATTAATGATCATTTAAATTCATGGTAAATCTTCTAACATTTTATCATATTTTCGTTTAATCGAAACTAACCCGATTTTAAGATAGACAAAAAAATGGCCAAATAATAAAAATTACAGAAAAAATTGTCACATTGGTGAAAAAGATCTGAATGCTTTAAAAGTAAAATATGTAAAATTAAGAAAGTTTGAAAAGATATTTTCATAGAGGTTGAGAAATGATGGGATGGGCTACTTTTGATGAGCCTTGCAAGCTAAGACAGCTCAACCTAATGTCCTTTTTGCTTGAAAAATGTTGGTGCAAATTGGATTAATTTTTCCATATTGATTGACATATCAACCCTTGTTTTTCACACTTTTGTTATTAATAAATTAAATAAAATTAATTTCCTATAATAAGAAAAAAAATCCCTTTGGAAAATTAAAGGATAATTTATGCATACCGACTATTGTTCCTCCAAGAGATCAAACAGCAGCGTCAGTTTGGTTGAGTTGTCATTACAAGAGAGTGAACCCTTAACCATGCATGAACAGCTTTTCTTGGGCTATTATGGATTTATGCTTTCCTTGCATTGCACTAAAACTCAGTATTTCATCAACCTCTCCCTCTTCCTGGTCCGTTTGCTTCCTTAATCTGCTATTTTTCATTTTTTTCTGGGTTTGATCATTTTATATCTGTGTATCTTCATGCTGTAAACGTTACATTTGATCCTTAATAAACTGCATCAAATGAGGTCTGCTTAATTGGTAAGCTGGAAATCTGTTGTGATGATCATTTTCTTTTGATTAATCTGTCATAATATTTGTTCTTGATTCTGCAAATTCCCCGTTATTTCTTTGCAATTAATGTGTTTACCTATGAGCTTAAATATTATGAGGAAATCCTTCATCGGCCTGCAGGTTTATTTCATCTGTTCCGAAACTGTAGAATTCTGAATCTTCATTGATGGGTTCAGGAAACTGGTTTAGATCATTCATTTGTTTAAAGAAACCAAAGTCCGGCAGGTCCAAACAAGAAAAGGTAGTATATGTATGAATGTATTCGATAACTATGAGAACATATCCGTATTAGACACGTACTTATATTTAATATTCGTTCACATTAGACACATACTTATATTTAATATTTGTATTAGTTTAAAAAATATACGGTGATATTTAGTAATGTAATTCTAGGGGTCATCTCTGATTTGCTCTCAGGCCCAATCAATTCTGGTGCAATCAAGTAATGAGAAGTCAAATGGTGATGTAAGGATAGATCATGAGGGTCCTGAAGAGGGAAGGAGTCCGGCAACGACCGGCGGTTCTCAAAGCAGTCCTGGAAACACAGTTGAACATATAGCTGCTGCTCGAATTCAGAAGGCTTTTCGGGCTTACAGGGTATTTTAACTTGTTGTCTATGCTATATTTCATACATTCGAGCTCCAATAATATGGTCTACGATTTTCCTTTCCAGGCAAGAAAAGCAGTTCGCCGGCTGAGAGATGCCGGAAGATTCAACATATTGATACAGGGACATACATTGAAAAAACAAACCACAAGCACACTAGGCTATTTACATTCATGGTGCAATGTCCAGTCTCAAATCCGAGCCCGAAGAATCTGCATGGTTACAGAAGGTAGGCTTAAGCAAAAGAGAATGGAAAACCAGATGAAACTCGAGGCCAAACTCCATGACCTGGAGGTAACAACCATCTTAACTTCCGATCTCAATATCTACGAAGAAACGAAAACTTGAATCCATCTTTTTTACATTAATGGAGAGTTAAGCCTTGCAGATTAGTAATTAATGAAAGGTAGCAGCTTTGTTAGCTTTCAAAGCCATTAACATCCGCTTCCCTATAATGCATCCCCTATCTTTTGTTTGGCAAGCAAGAAAATGAGAAACTGGTAACCTAAGAATCTAGTAGTATTCTTGGCTGTTACAGGTAGAATGGTGTGGCGGCTCCGAAACTATGGAGGAGATTCTTTCCAGGATTCAACAGAGAGAAGAAGCAGCAGTCAAACGCGAACGAGCTATGGCGTATGCCTTCTCTCATCAGGTTGCAAACTTTGGGTTTATTCAATCATCTTTAACATTATTTCAAGACTGACTTGTAGTGGAATTGCAGTGGAGGGCGAATGCGAGCCAATATCTAGGCCAAGCATCCTATGGTGTTGGCAAAGAAACTGGGGTTGGAGCTGGATAGAGCGATGGATAGCAGCGAGGCCATGGGAAGTGAGGGTTCATTCTCATGCGAGGAAGACTCACGGCAGGCAGGCAAGCAAATCCGAGAAAGAGATTAAAAATCCGGCATCTACGAAACCCAGTTTGCCAAATGGGAAAGTTGCTTCAAAAGCCAAAAACGGTGCCACAACCGACGGCTGAAATCGGAAAGATTCACGAAAGCAGCTATGTTGAGTGATTCAATACAATTTTCTCTAGTACTTTTTGTGTGCATTTGCAACTCATTGTATACACAATAACAAGGTTTTCTTGCAGCCAGAAATCCGCGGATAAAACACTAAAGCTACCATATCAACCGGATTAAACCCGAATTCAAGATCTCTGTTTCCAGAGACTATATATGTAAAAATCTTAAACATAAAATTTCCTTGGTGAAATCTGAAACGCAACTACATGTACATTACTTTCTGAGGAACCAAACAACACGTATGAACTTAAAAAGTCTAAAAAGAATAAAAAATTGCATATTTCGAGATTTGAATCTCGGACATGATTCAGAACCTTCTAGATATCATGTCTTAAGAACAGCTAATCATGCAATACCATAGCTGAGCCCCAACAATAACCACTGCGACAACCCAACAACCCCTCCATCTCAAATCTATATCCGGTAACACATCGAAACAAAAGCAAATACATACATGCATTATTGGTATCATATTTTTAAGGTAATTAAGAAAACTAAGAATTTCCAGTTAGACTCAAGGGGACCATTACAGAGGCAAATTACCAAAAAAAATTGTGGTATCTAATGTCAAGTGTATCCTACTATTCTATACCATAATTGAGCTTTCTTTGTACGATCATACCTTCCATTGCAACTGCAGATGGTACTCCATTTATAGCCCCACTTGCACTATATGCTAACATGCTCCCATTGATTGCTGTTATGTGACCTTGGGGTGTCCTACAACTTGGCCTCAATCCTAATGTATGCTTCAGGTGATTATTTCGGGTCAACCTCATCTTTCGTACTAAAGCATCTAGTAGCTGAATTCTGTTAATTTCAGCAATCGTGATGTCTATTATAGTGATTGGTTCATTGTTCTTTTGTTCAATTTGAACTAATAGAATGAATTGGGTTTTCAATTCTTTGTTTCTATAATGAGCTTTTGATTCTAAACTGAAGCATCTAAAACAAGCCTATGTTTAGTAAAACAACACGGAAAGAAAAGAGTTATGAGGGGAAGTTATACATTGTTTTTGGCCAGGTAGACGCTGACCGTGGGAATCTGCTACCACTCTACAGGTTTAAGGTGTTCCCCGCACAATCTGTTCCGTAAACGATAAAGCAATAAAACGAAACTACTAGCAGAGTTCTCTTTCATCCACATGAGAAATTGACAACTTCTAAAGAGAGGAAAAGACTCTGGACTGCTTCTCTAGTTCGGTATCTGATCAAAGGGATATATAGGATCCGGAAAGACTTTTTCCAATATTAGCTGATCAGGGGTTACCCAACCTACCTTATTTCATGATAATTTTTCGAAAGAATGAGTGGATATGCTAAACTGAGTCAGTCCTATTTGAGGGAAGAATCAAATCAGAATTAAAACAACCAGGTTGTCTCGGTGGTAACACTAGGAAAACAGTAGCAAACATTGCTAACAAATTGACTGGCAACATGAAACACACGTCCAACAAAGATGGAAACCATTGTTAAGCTCTAAGAGCCCAAATTTAAGCTACAACACAATCAAATGATAAAAACTAAATAAAACCGGGGATTGAAAAACCTGAAATCCACACAGATTTCTCTTTCCCACGGCAATAGGCCATTGATTCTAAGTGACCAAAATCTTCCCGTCTTTGACTCTTGTATCTATCACACTGTCTCCTCCTTGAGTTCACGGTCAACTGTCAACCATCGATGATCAACCAGTGTGAAAGATTAATCACCTAAATGAGCAGAAAAGCCTGTCAGTGCAATATATGGTATTGAAAACTAAATATGGACATAGAAAGAAGGGCTAACCGGATAGAGGGGAAAGATTTTGGCTTCCCTTTGATTTACTTGATCAATGGTGAGAATCAGATGAAGCAGAGGACAGCTTATTGGCGATGCTGTCGTGCTCATCTTCTTCGCCCTGAATTCGTGCTGGAAAGCGAAATCCAGAGAATACACCAGGTGTGGTGAATCCAATGCCAGAAAGAGCAGCTTGATGATGGATGTTTTCTGGGATTTGATGATGATGATGGTGTTGGTGTTGGTGTTGGTCGGTTGTGGAAATTGGCTGGTCTATCCAAGCACGAACCAAGGGCGTGTTACTGGACTGAAGGGGTCCCCTCTGAGAATACAATTGGCTGTTTTGGCCAAAAGTCGGCGGCAGCGGATGCGATGTTGGAGTGCCAAAGAGAAATCCTCCTACTCCACCATTACCGCCGCCACCAGCACCACCGCCACTGCCAGTATCAGCAGTAGCGCCGCTATTATTCCAGGCAAACAATCTCTGGAACCTTCCTATCTCCCCCGGATGTTGGTGGTGATGCTCCCATCCAGCAGAAGACCCATCAAAACCAGCTAATGGGCTGGTTCCAGAGAACAAAACAGGCTCACTGTGCTGTGCCTGAGCTGCAGCAGCAGCTTGTGCGTGGTGGTGAAAAAGAATCGGCTCCGGAAAAGACTGAAGTGAAAGCCGAAGATCCTGACTGTGGCTGCTGGTTCTCGACAACAAATCCGGTGGATAATTCTGAAACTGTATGGAAGAAGACTGAGCCTCACTCGAAGCTCCCAATGGAAAAAAAGACTTAATAGTATCAGCAATCTCATCAGAAACTAAAGCAGGTGGAAGAAAACCCGAATTATTATTCGGGTTATCTCCCATTTCTCGTTGCTGAAGATTTTGAACTTCATTCCCCATTATTGTTTCCGTTCTCCTCCGAGTACCCGACCCGGCAGCAAGGTTCTCAACCAGGTTTCCACCATGGTTGATGTGAAAGTGATACGGCTTATCATTGTCAGTAGTCGTCGTGGCGTTTTGTTCTTGGTTACTAGGTTTAGCAATCGAAGAAGAAGTATTGAAACTTTCTGGTTTCCAAGGAGGTAGCTCAGCGAGCTCGTCAATGGCGGGCTTGGCCTTTTTTATAAGCCAATCCACGGCTTTGCTAGGACGGTCATAGCCAAGGCGGTCCTGTACGTCGTAGAACTGGATGGCGGTGTGAGCCGAGAGACGAACACGTCGGTCCCGAGGACCTTTAGCAGTGCAAACTTTGCTGTGACGGTCTTTCCTTCCGGTAGACCGAACAATGTGACCACCTTGGACTTCTACCATCTCCCCTCCGGAGTGCTTTATCCCCAATCTTGACGATGTTGCAGCTTGGTGGTGGCTATCCCCCATTTTTCTTGCATGTTGTGTCGATTTTGAACCGAAAGAAGCACTGGACGACTGCAAGTACGAGCGCTTCTTCAATGGCGGTGGGCACTCTTGAGTTTCCAGGCTTGCATACAATTGTTGCCCCTGTTGTTGCTGATGCTGATGATGCCTTTGTGGATCCAGGCTCAGATCCTTGTGCTTTCCCTGTTCCAGCTTTTAATGGAGGACACACCACCAGCTCCTCCACCAAGACTAGCCGGAAACACTCTTAAAAACACCAGCTTTTTTTATTTCCAGCCTAACCCATCATTAAAAACTCAACTTTTGGCAAATTGGGTCTTCTCTTTTATCTGTACTATTCTATTCAGTCACCAAATTACAGAAATGGGTTAGCCACCAACTTGATCAGGATAACCCAACAACAACAACAAAAACAAAAGTTCTTTCTTTTCTCAACAAATATTTTCTCGGGAAAATACACTATAAACTAGAAAGTTTCCATTACAGCTACACTACCAGAACAAAAAGAGAGAAAAAGATATTTTGTTATGTGTTTAGGGGGCCTTATAGCTAATGCCTAATAGCTAGTATAGGGAAGAGTAATTTCACTTTTCTTGGCCTATACAAACCCTTGATGTTGTTGATGATGATATTACCACTGGCAAGGGGTGGCAGAGCGTTTTTGCGGTCAGACAAAAGACTAAAGATCCCTCTGCTTCATCTCATCACTACCTTCTACCGCTGTTTATTGTACTATTACCCTAAACAAACACCATTTCAACCAAGCTAAAATCCCACCTTTTTTTCACCTTCTCACCTAATTATAAAATTATAACCTTTATCTTATTTTTTACTAACTATAGATAGATAGATATGATTTGATGCCACTTTCTTGTTGAAGAATTAGGGTTTTTGTTTTGACTAAAATTTTCAACCTGGACGTGGTAAGAAAGTTACAACCTTTTTAACTTGGTTCATAGTAGAAGTTAAGAACTGTTTGGATGCTTTGTTTTGATTAGATCAGATTGATTGAATGAATAGATCCTTTCTTTATATGCCACCATCACAACTTTTGACAGTGACCCAATTCACACTTTTACTATCATTTTTTGTCATTATAATTTTATAATTATTTACTAATTATTGATTTTGTCATATTAATTTAAAATAATAGTTGAATTTTATCAAATTATTATATAATAATTAATGAAATTTATTGAATTATTGTAAAATATTTTTTAATTTATAAAAAATTATCATTTTTATTGTATGTAGTGATATTTTTATAATATTTTGATAATTTTAATATTTAGAAAATTAGCATCTCTTTTGATTTTATTTACATTTTTTTCTTGTTTTCACTGAGCAAATTGAAGGGAAGGTAGCAGCACTTGCCTTTCACTCTATTGGAATTGGAATAGTTATCATTGTTAGGGGTGTAAACGAACCGAGTCGAGCTCGAGTATTGCTGAGCTCGACTAGACTCGAAAATTCGCAAGCTTAAAATTTTTAAGCTCGACTCGAAGTCGAAATTCTGAACTGAAGCTCGTGAGCAGCTCGAAAAGGCTCGAAATGAAAAAAAAAACTCTTAAACTTAACTCGATTGGAGCCTCAAACTCAAACTCGAACATGAACCTTAAATACATAAAATCTTATTATATTTTTTTAAAAAAAATCAATACATAAATATTAATATTATTATTAATTTATTTTTTAAAATAAAATCTTAATATATTATATTTTCGAGCTACTCACGAGCTTTTCGAGTCGAATATCGAGTAGCTCGTTTCAGCTCATTAAGAACTCGAGTCGAGCTCGAGCTCGAGCTCGAGTCGAGTCCATTCGATCCGAGTATTTATCGAGCCTTGATCGAGTCGATCTCGAGTCGAGTCCATTCGATCCGAGTATTTATCGAGTCTTGATCGTATCGATCTCGAATAACTCGCGATCTGTCTCGTCTCATTTACAGCCCTAATCCTTGTCCTTTTAATATGCTTTGCTAAATTACTTTGCTACCCTTTTCCAATTTCTTTCTTTTATTTTCATAGATTTTTTATTATTTTAAATATGGTAAGAATAACTGTATTAAGTTGTATCAATGATAAAACGAAATAGTGTTTTCAATGGATAATTCAGATTTTAACAATTGTGTATACAATATGTATACTCTCTCTGTCTCATAAAAATTTTCCCTTATTAATTTTTTAAAAAGTCAAAATTTTTAAATTTTGACCATGTTTATTTTAAATATTTAAATATTATAAAATATACATTTGAGAATTACTTGATTGAAGGTTTTTAAAATATATTTTTTACATATTTTTCAATAATAAATTTTAAATAATAATTAGTCAACGTTTAAATTTGACCAAAAAAAAGTTAATAATGGACATTTTTTATGGGATAGATTCAGTATGAATTATCAAATGGTTAAAAATTCAAACATGTATTATCTTATAATCACCTAAAACTAATAAAAATAATAAAATTATTATAAAAGTTTTTAAATTGATTAAATTATTATAAAATAGTTGTTGAATTATAATAAGTATAAAGTTTTAATAATATAATAATAAGTGTACATTTTTAATAAATATAATAATAACTTTATAATAATTCAATAAATTCAATGATGATTTTATAAAAATATGAAAAAAGATAATTATTTTATAATAGTTTAAAAAATTTAATGACTATTTTATAATTTTTAAAATTTTAATGATTAAAATGATCATTAAAACATTATTTAAAGACCTCCGACATATTTTATCCAAAGATTTATATGGAGTAGAAAATCTTTTTGTTGGAAAATAGTTAAGATTTTAATACGAACACATTTACTTCCTTTTCCTCTTTTTAAAAATTTGAATTATTAGTCATACGGAACACAACATATTTTTTCATTTTCTTTTTCTTTTTTAATAATATATGTTTTATATACTTAATTATTTTTTATAGAAGCAGCTAATTTTATTAAAAATATAAAACATTTAAATTATAATGAAACTTTACAATTACAATCATAAAATAAACGTATAATAAGAATATTATCCTGAAAACAATAAAATTAGACATTTAAGATCACACAATGATCATACAAGAAAAAGTTTAAAAAACCTAACCAAATAAACTAGAACGATAGATAAATATGAATATATCTGACTACATCTGTAAACGAACCACAAAATAAAATAAATATATTGAAAGACCACCAACATTGCTCAAATCAAAATTGAGCGATGTGAAAATATTATCCACGAACGCAAATTACATATCCAAATCAATCCGAAGATCTAAAGCATGGAAGATCACTATGATAACAAATAAACGTCATCTTGATCAATCGTGATGATGTCAAATCCAACTTTAAAAAAAATAAACGAAAACAATGGTCAAACAACCCAAAACATGTCATAAAGGCAAATAAAAACGTGTCATAAAAGTAGAAGAATATGTAAAAAAATGCATAATTATTAAGAATAAAAAACAAATATATGATATAATAAAGGAAAGAAAAAATATTGAATACCAATGGTCGACAACCAATATCAAAATTGGTGTTGCCGACGTCACAAAGATAAAAAATAAATAAAGTAACAAAAGCTTTGGAAAAATAGAGAAAAATATTACAAACCCTAGTTAATATCTTCATAGACAGAATTTCAAACAAAGATTGATGACAAAATCTAATCGAAGGTAGTTAAATTACATTTTATAGGTTAATTTTATGTTATTTTATTGATACTTAGGGTCTATTTGTTTTATTATAATTTATTAATTGGAAAATATTTTTTTTATTTTCTAATATTTAGTTGGTGAAAAATATATAATTGATGTAATTTATAATTTCCTTCAAAACATAAATTCTTTTTACATTTTATAAAAAGTGACTTACCGTCTGATTTTCCTAAATCGTTTTCTGAATTATTCACTTCAAAACATAAATACTTTATATATTTAATATTAATATACTATTTTGGTATTATTTAATAAAAATGTTAATTATTAAAATATATTTATTAATAAGTTTAATAATATAATATTATATTTCTTAGTGTTATTATAATATATTTAATTGTAGAACAATAATATATAATAAATTATATTATTTCTTGTATTTAATATTTATAATAAATAGTTTATGAAAAGTTACCAACTAGTGAAATATATTTTACAATATATTATCCAAACTCCCTAATATAATTTTAGAAATTATTTTCTAAATAATGTAATTCATTTTATGAAAATTATTTTTCGTGAAACAAACGACATTTAACCAACAATTAAATTGTGGCAACTTTACGTAAAGGTTTAGCTTGTTTGGTTAAGATAACATGCATTTTAGTATTAATTTATAAAACCACTTTAGTGTCGGAAGATAATATTATTATTTTTAAAAGTTTTGAGTTTAAATAATTATACCTATAATATATATATATATATATATATATATATATATATATTTAGTTAAAAATATTCTTAACAAATCTTATCTTGTAATAAACTCATATAATTAAAAAAATACCAAAAATAATAAGACTGAAGGTAACTACATATAATTAAAAAAATATTTCGGAGTCAGTCCTTCAATTTTAATTTATTAAAATTATGGTGCTTGTTACAAGTAAAGACAACTAGACAAGTTCTCATATAAACATGTCTTATTTTAATTATCGGTCTAACAATGAAATTTCACAAATTTATTTTATAAGAATCTAAAATTTGATTCATATACCTTAATTGTTAAAATTTACTAAATTGTTGTTTCATAAGAATCTAAAATTCCTGAACATATGTTTTTTTTCTATTATTTGCATAAAAAATACTAATTTTTTATTTTCAAGTTAATTATTTAATAGTAAGATTTCAACATTTACTAAATTGAATTAATATAATTTTATGAAATAGGATGATTAAATTATATTGACTTGTATTATTCATCAATGTTAATAAATTATTTAAATTTAAGTGTAAAATACAGTAACATTGATATATATTTTAATAGTAATTCGACTTATCTTTAATAGGTTATAGTTAAATATTATTTAATTTAATTTTAGAAATCATTTTTTAATAGGTGTAGTCCCTTTCACTTATTTGCCACCCATTCATCTTTTACGAATGAAAGCGACTACACCGTATCCATTTATATGTATTTTTACTATATTCCTCTTATTTATATAAAAATATGTGATATTTTTTAATTCGCATATAATTAACAAATAATAATAGTAATAATAATAATAATAATATGATACACATTTCTTTTGACCATCAAAATTCTTAAGTACCTAAATGAAAATATAGGTAAAGTTTGGGTTCAATTTTGCGTATAAACCAAAAGTAAATAAATATTTTATAATATAAGATATGAAACTATGATATATTTAGGGATGTACATGATTCGATTTGATCGAA